TAATTATTGTAATTAAATGTATAAAGACCTGAAGTCAGAAAACCAAAAGGGAAGAACATTCTCAGCATTTCTCAAGATGATAGAATTGAAGAAAAAAAAATCAAGCCTCAAGTTGCAATATTGACAGATTCTATGGGCAATGTATCGAATGATGCAGGAAACAACAAAAGAAGATGAAAAGAATACACGGAGGCACTATACCAAAAAGAATTGGTCTATGTTTGTCTATTTCAAGAAGTAGCATATGATCAAGAACCGATAGTATTAAAGGAATGAGTCAAACCTCCACAGAAGAAATTGGCAAAAAAAAAAAAAGGAATACAGAAATTGATATATTTCAGGCCATGGACCCTCTGCCTTACCAAGCATGACATTGTTCTCCAGGGAATGGTTCCTTCTGACAACATGACCAAAGAAGGTGAAAAGAAGTCTGGCTATTCTCGCTTCTGAGTAGCAGTCCAGCTGCACTTCCTCCAGGACAGATTTGTTAGATCTTTTAGCAGTCCATGGCAATTTCAGCATTCTTCACTAGCACCACAACTAAAAGCATCAACTTTTCTTTGTTGTTGTTATGTGCCATCAAGTCAGCCCCGACTCATAGCAACCCCTCCTTGGGTTTCTAAGGCACTATCATTATGGAAGTAGATTGCCCCATCTTCCTTCCCAGGAGTGACTGGTGGGTTTGAACTGCCAGCCTTCTGGTTAGCAGTAAAGTGCCTTAGACACTATGCTACCAGAGCTCCCAACTTTTCTTTACTCTTCCTTATTAATTGTCCAGCTGTCCATGTGTATGAAGTGATTGAAAATACCGTGACTTGTGTCAAGTGCACCTTAGTCTTCAAGGAGATATCTTTGCTCTTCAGCACTTAAAAGAGGTCCTTTACAGTGGATTTGCCCAGTGCCATGTTGTTTGATGTTCTGACTGCTGCTTCCATTGGCATCGATTGTAGAACCAAGCAATGGGAAGTCTCTGACAACTTCAATCTTTTCTCCATTCATCATCATGCTACTTATAGGTCCAGTTTTGAGGATTTTTGTTTTCTTTATATTGAGATATAATCCACACTATAGACTGTATTCTTTAATGTTTATCAGTAAGTGCTTCAAATCATCCTCACTTTCAGCAAGCAAAGTTGCTTCATCACCATATCTCAGGTTGTTAATGTTTCTCCCTCCATTCCTGATGCCATGTTCTTGTTCATATAGTCCAGCTTCTCAGATTCCTTGCTCGGTATACAGATTGAATAAGTATAGTGAAAGGATACAACCCTGATACACTCCCTTCTTGATTTTAAACCATTCAGTGTCCCCTTGTTCTTTGTGAATGACAGCTTCCTGGTCTATGTTCAGGTTCCTCATGAGTACAATTAAGTGTTCTGGAATTCCCATCCTTCTCAATGTTATCCATATTTTTTTATTATCCACACAATCAAATGTTTTACATAGTCATTAATGCACAAGTAAACATCTTTCTGGTATCCTTTGCTTTGAGCAAAGATCCATATGACATCAGAAATGATATCCCTCATTCCATGTCCTCTTGTGAATCCAGCTTGCATTTCTGGAAGTTCTGTCACTAGACTGCTACAACTGTTTTTTTTAATTATCTTCAGTAAGATTTTATTTGCATGCAAGATTAATAATATTGTTCAATAATTTCCACATTCTGTGGGATCACCTTTCTTTGGAATGGGTACAAATATGGCTCTCTTCCAGTTGGTTGGGCATGTAGCTGCCTTCCAGATCTATTGGAATAGGCAAGTGAGTGCCTCCAGTGAGGCATCTGTTTGATGAAACATCTCAATCACTATTCCATCAATACCTGGAGCCTTATTCTTTACCAATTCCTTCAGTGCAGCTTCAACTTCTTCCTTCAATACCATTGGTTCTTGATTATATGCCACATCCTGAAATGGATGAAGACAGACCAGGTCTTTGGTACAGTCACTCCATACATTCCTTCCATCTTCTTTGATGCTTCCTGCATCAATCAGTATTTTGCCCATAGAATCTTTCAGTATTGCAAATTGAGGCTGAAATTTTTTCTTGTTTTTTCAGCTTGAAAAATGCTGACCCCATTCTTCCACTTTGGTTTTCTAACTCTAGGCCTTTGCACATTTCATTATATTAATTATCTGTGTTTGCTCGAGCTGCTCTTTGAAATCTTCTGTTCAGTTCTTTCATCTTGTCATTTCTTCCATTTGTTTTAGCTACTCTCTGATCCAGGGCAAGTTTTAGAGTCTCTTCTGACGTCCATTTGTGTCTTTTCTTCCTCTCTCATCTTTTTAATGACCTCTTACTTCTTTGTGGATGATGTTTTGATGGTATCCCACAATTCTTCTGGTTTTCAGTCAATGGTGTTCAATGCATGAAATCTATTCTTTAGATGGTCTCTAAATGCAGGAGGGATATATTTCAGGTCATATTTTGGCTCTCCTGGACTTATTTTAATTCTCTTCAGCTTCAACTTGAATGTGCATATGAGCAGTTGATGGTCTGTTTCACAATCAGCTCCTGGCCTGGTTTTAGCTGAAGATATTGAGATTTTCCATTGCCTCTTGCCACATATGTGGTCAGTCTGATTCCTGTGTATACCATCTGGTGAAGTCCACTTTACAGCCATCACTTATGTTATTGAAAAGTGGTATTTGCAATAAGTAGGTCATTGATCTTGCAAAATTCTATCATGTGATCTCCAGCATTATTTCTGTCACCAAGCCCTTATTTTCCAACTACTGGTGATTCTTCTTTGTTTCCAACTTTTGCATTTGAGTCACTAGTGATAATTAACACACCTTGATTGCATGTTTGGTCGATTTCAGACAGCAAAAGTTGATAAAAATCTTCAATTTCATCATCTTTTGCTTTGGTGGTTGGTGTGTAAATTTGAATAAAGTAGTATTAACTGGTCTTCCTTGTAGGTGTATCGATATTATGATATCACTGACAGCACTGTACTTCAGGATAGATCTTGAATCATTCTTTGTGATGATGAATGCCACACCATTCCTCTTCAAATTGTCATTCCCGCCATAATAGATCATATGGTAGTCTGATTCAAAATGGGCAAAACCGGTCCATTTCAGTTCACTAATGCCTAGGATATCAATCTTTATGCATTCCATTTCATTTTTGACAACTTTCAATTTTCCTAGATTCATACTTTGTACATTCCATGTTCTGATTATGCATGGGTATTTGCAGCTGTTTCTCATCAAGTTGAGTCATGCCATCTCAGCAAATGGAAGTCCTGAAAGCTTTATTTATCCATATCATTAAGGTTAGTTCCAATTTGAGGAGGCAGCTAATTCCCAGTCCCATTTTGAGTGCCTTCTGTAATTTGAGGGTTTCATCTTTCTGCACTGTATCGGACAATGTTTGTAGGCTATTCATAAAGTTGCACAGTAATGTATCAGTACAGTCTTTCTCTGCTATTCATACAGTTTTCCCAGGTTGATTTTTTGAGAAGTGGATGGCCTCTTCCTTCTTTCTAGTCTGTCTCAGTCTGTAAGCTGTGTTGAAACCTGTGCACTATGTGCAACCCTACTGGCTACTGGTGGCACAGCCTCAAGCCTCACAGCAACATGCAAGCCACCACAATACGACAAAGTGACAGACAAGTCTTTCTCGCTTAGCTGTTTGAAAGTTCTCTGTCCTTCCCTTACCTGGGTCCCCCAGCTCTGTCTCATCTCCAGTTTTCCCCTGCTTCCTGCATCTTGGGATGGGGCCTTCCCTCCCCGCCTCCCCACCCCCTAACTGGACCCCACGGCTCTATCTCTAATAAAATATTAATAAGGTACATCATGATAAACAGAGACATTGAAGTTGTCAATGATTTCATATTACTTGGTTCTGTAATCAACACCAGTGGAAACAGCAGTCAGGAAATCAGACAATGACATATTGTACTGGGCAAATACACTGCAAAAGATCTCATTTGAGTGCTGAAGAGCAAAGATCTGTCTTTGAAGGCTAAGATGCACCTAACTGAAGCCATGTAGGTTTTCAGTCACCACGCATGTGAAAGTTGGACAATGAATAAGGAAGGACAAAGAAGAGCTGATTCCTTGGACTTGTGGTGTTGGTGAAAAATACTGAAAGTACCATGGACTGCCAGAAGAACTGTAAGTCTGTCCTAGAGGAAGTGCAACCTGAACGCTCCTTGGGAGCAAGAATGGCCAGACTTGGCCTCACCTACTTTAGTCATGTTGTCAAAAGGGACATTCCCTGGAGAAAAATATCATGCTTGGTAACATGGAGGATCAGTGATAAAGGGGAAAGCTCTCAGCAAGATGGATTAACACAATGCCTGCAAGAATGGGATCAGGCATTGCAAGTGTTGTGAGATAAGTTCAGAACTAAGCAGTGTTTTGTTCTGTTGTACATAGAGTTGCTATGAGTCAGAGCTAACTTGACCACTCCTAACAGCAACAGCAAAAAAGAAGGATTCTAACTCATTTTTTTTTTTTAATTTGGAAAAATTAGTAGTTACTATTTTTATATGGTAGTATAGTGCCTACGGTACTTGATTGCTAACCAGAAGGCTGGTGGTTCAAATTCATTAGCCACTCCTCAGAAGGAAGGTTGGGCAATCTACTTCCATAATGATACCACCTCAGAAACCCAAGAAGGGGTCGCTATGAGTTGGGTCCAACTCAGTGGCACATAACAACAACTGTAACAACGTTTTTAATATTAATGATTGATGAGTGAATGAATTAATTTAATAGAAGAGACTAAGATTGAGAGATTCTCCAAAAGCAATATTTCTTTGCCTGTAAGAAATATTCTTTTGTACATACTGATTCCCTGGCTGAGTAAACCTCAAATTCCTTGAGACTTGAGTTTTAAGATTGTTGTTGTTGAATGGTCATTTTATGGGTGTTTTAAAACATATTTCATAGGTTCTTTTTAAACTAAGATTGATTTTCCTGGTTTAATGAAAAAAAAATCTTGTTGCCAAGTAATAGGAAATCATATATATTTTTTTTCCTTCACAGCCACTGAACTATGAGAAAAAGAAGTCGTATACCCTCAACATAGAAGGAGCCAATACACATCTTGATTTTCGCTTTTCTCACTTGGGTCCTTTTAAAGATGCTACCATGCTGAAGATCATTGTTGGAGATGTAGATGAACCACCTCTATTTTCAATGCCTTTCTATGTAATGGAAGTCTATGAAAATGCCAAGATCGGAACCATCGTTGGCACAGTTTTGGCACAAGATCCTGACAGTGCTAATAGCTTAGTAAGGTATAGTACAAGTCAAACTTTTAGATATATAAAGCTTTTTTTCCTTGCCTCCTATTTTAGTTAAAAATCCATTAAATAATTTTTTAAATATTTTACTTCCATACATACTTTATGATAATGTAATAAAACTAGCATATTAGTTGATCCTTTAAATTAATAATAAATGGGTTTCATTCAGATTATGAATACATGCAGTTGTCTACATGAAAATATTGTTTGCTGCACAGTTCAAAATTTCCATTTGATATTTTTCTCCTTACCATCCATAAATGCCTCTTTATTTATTTTGAATATTATAATGTGCTTTAACTGAGACTTTACACAGCAGTTTATATTTCCATTTGATAATTTTTGTACAAATTGTTTTGTGACATTGCTTAGAATGTTTGCAATGTATCCATAATCTCGTTATTTCCCATCTGTTTGTTCTGTTTACATTTATCTACCTTCCTAGCCCTTCCTTTTCTTTTCATCTTTGCTTTTGGGCAAATGCTGACTATTAGGTTTTCTACAGTTGATTGCTTAAGGGAGCATACTACTCATGGGTGATATTGTTTTTTTCATAAGCCAATCTATTATTTGGCTGAAAGGTAGTGCCTGGAAGTGGCATCAGTTCCAAGTATACTAGGGTAGTAGCCTTGGGCATTCCTAAAGTCTCTATGAATCCAGTCAAATTCCTTTTTCGGGAATTTGAATTTTATTCAACATTTTTTTTTTTTTTATCATTCATTCTAAGAGCTCCTATTGTGCCCCTGCGTAGAACAGTTAGTTTTGGTTTCAGGCTGTAAGCAATTCTAGTGAGCTATTACCATATTTTTGCATATAATGTACCCTCAAAAATAAGACACACATACATATAATGTGCATGGTGCACAGAGAAAACTAGCACACGATGTGGTTGCAAAAAACTGTAATACGTGTATTATTTGTCTAAAAATCTGGTAGTCCTGTGGACTAGAGTCTTCTTTGATTTTTAGGTTTTTTTCATCCTTTGTTCCATATGTGAAGATAACAAAAGTTGTATCTTATATGTCTGTTCACAAGCTTTTTTTTTTCTTTTGTTGTTCATTTTCTTTTTCTTTTTCTTTTTAATTGTGATTTGGGTGAAAGTTTACAGAGCAAATTCACTCTCCATACAACAGTTCACATACACTTTGTCTCATGACATTGACTACAATTTACTACAATTCAACAGTTGCCCTCCCACTGCCTCCTGATAGTTACCTCTTCCCTGGGTCCATCCTTCCATGCACTCCTGCTGCCTGAGCTATCTCTCTGTGCATAAACAGCCCCTTTTTCTCTCATGATTGTTCTCTTCAACAAGTGTATCTACCTCAGGTAAATGTTCACCTCATATGCCTGTCTTTTGTTTGGCTGGAAGTCACAGGTATGGGTTCAATTCCACACCTGAAGGGAAGCTAGGACCCATAGTCTCAGTGGTTCCACCAGGCTCTATCAGACCAGCAAACCTGCTCCCCCCCCCCTTTTTATTTTTATTTTTTTTCCCTCCAAATGATTTTGAGTTTTCTTCCACACTGTTCTCCATCTCTATCCAGGATATCCAACATAGCTCTCCCTCTGAGTGGCTGACAGTGGCAGCCAGGCACCATCTAGTTCTTCTGGTCTCATAGTCATATAGGTTGTGAATTGCATGGCATACCAGTCACTAGGACTAATTGTTTCCATGAATTTTTGGTTTTCTTCATTCTTCTTTGCTCTGCATGAGGTGAGACCCATCATTGCATTTAGATGGCTGCTTGCAAGCTTTTCTTTTAAGATCCCAATCACTACTTGTCAAAGTAGAAGGTGAAACAATATTTTGTGTAGCATATTATGCCAATTGAACTTAATGTCCCCTGCGACTGTGGTCCCAAGCCCACAGGTTCAACTACTTGCTCCCTCTGGGTAGCTGGCTGTGCTCACAAGCTTTTAAGACACCAGAAGCTACTCACAAGCTAGAATGTAAAACATTACCTTTTTGAACTATGTTATGCCAATTGACATTGTTGTCCCATGAGACTATCATCCAAAGTCTTTTAATCCAGTAAACCAATTGCAAAGTGTTTGGAATTTCTTGGAGGTCTCCATAACTTTGTCCCCTATGTGATTTATTATATATATGAAACAACATGTAGCCTACCCAAATGTGTATATACTTATGCCTACAAATATACCTCTATACACATGTCCATGTACTCAAAAATACCTTCTGTGATAGTAAAGTTATATGTCAGCTTGTCTGGGACAAGATTCTAAGTGGTTTAACAATTATGGTATTGTCATCCCGTGTGATAAAATGTGATGTAATTTAATCAACTCCATGATGAGCTCTGCTATGAGGAGCCAATCAGTTGAAAAGGAGTTTCCCTTAGAGAGTGACCTGATTCTAACATACATGTACTACCTCTGGCAAAGGTCTCTGACTTTTTGCTTGATCCAGATCCTGCACCTGTCTTATCGACATCTTACCATCAGTTCTTATACTTCAACAAATGACTGGCCATGTTATCTGCACATCTTGGGATTGTTGCCTTTACAATCTGTGAGCAACACTCTGCCATCATACATACCAAACTTTTAATCATCACCCTTCAAGGCCAATGGCCTTCTCTACTGCCTGTTATACTAGGGTTGGAAAACTCCAGCAGCTCCATAAGTCAGGAGAATCCTCCAGGTTGATGTCAGAACAATGAATTTGAGTTTTGTAAGCCTCTGCAACAGCATGAGTCATTTCCTTTAGATACAAATTTTTTTTTTTTCTTTTTTTCTCTCTACATACATGTAAGCTTCACAGGTTTTTCTTCTCTAGAGAACCAATCCTAAGAAATTTGGTACAAGAGTAGTTCTAGAGAAAGAAAGTAATAAGGATAAGTTTCCAAATTGATTTCAGTTCTCATTAGTCATAAAGGTACAAATGACTCTACCTCCATTAGTAAAGTTATTGTTGTTTGGTGCCATGAAGTCAGCTCCAACGCATAACAACTCCATCTACAGCAGAACAGAACACTGTGTGGTCCTGGGCCATCCTTACTATCCCAGAGGTAGTTAAGCCCAACATTGCAGCCACTGTGCCATCCATCTTAATGAGGTTCTTTCCCTTTGTAGTTGACCTACTTTATCAAGCATGAGACCATAATCTGGGAACTGGTCCCTTCTGATAAAATGACCAAAGTAGATATGACAAAGTCTCGTCATTCTGGCTTCGAAGGAGAATTCCAACTGCACTTCTTTCAGGACAGATTTGTTTGTTTCTCTGGCAGTCCATGTTATTTTCAGTATTCTTCACCAACATCACAATTAAAAAGTAACAACTCTTTTTGGTATTCCTTATCCATTGTCCAGCTTTCCCATGAATATGAGGTGATTATAAATACCATGGCTTGGATTAGCCAAGCCTTAGTCTTCAAAATGACATCTTTGTTCTTAACACTTTAAAGAGGAGTTTTGAACATATTTTCCCAGTGGAGTATGATGTCTGACTTCTTGACTACTGCTTCCATGGGTATTGATGTGGATCCAAGTAAAATGAAATCCCTGACAATTGCAATCTTGTCTCCATTCATCATGAAGTTATGTATTGGTCCACTTGTAAGGGTTTCCATTTTCTTTGTATTGAGGTGTAATCATTCTGAAACTTATAGCCTTTGACTTCATCAGTAAGTGCTTCAAGTCATCTTCACTTTCAGCAAGGCAGGTTGTGTCATCTACATATTGCAGGTTGTTAATGAGTCTTTGTCCAGTCCTGATGACACGTTCTTCAAATGGTTCAGTATTTGAATTATTTGCTCAGCATACAGGTTGAATTATTATGGTGAAAAGATACAAACCTTACATGCACCTTTCCTCATTTTAAATGATGCAGTATCCCCATGTTCTGTTTGAATGACAGACTCTTGGTCTATGTACAGATTCCTCATGAGTGTAATTAAGTGTTCTGGCATTGCCATTCTATACAATTTTATACATAATTTTTGATGATCCAAGCAGTTGAATGCCTTTGTATAGTCAATAAAACACAAGTAAACATCTTTCAAGTATTTTTTTTTTTCTTGCTTTCATCCAAGATCCATCTGACATAAGCAATGTTATCCCTCATTCCTTGTCCTCTTCTGAATCCAGCTAGAAATTCTGCAAGTTCCCAGTCAATATACTGCTGAAACTATTATTGAATTAATTTCAGCAAGATTTTATTGTGTGTGATATTAATGATATTGTTTGTTAATTTCCACATCCTGTTGGATCAAATTTCTTTAAAATGGGCACAAATATGGATCTCTTCCAGTCTAAGCACCTCCAGCACTGTACCTGTTTTTTGAAACATCTCAATGGGTACTTCATCAATTCCTGGAATCTTATTTATTTTATTTTTTTTGCCAATCCTTCAATGCAGCTTGGACTTCTTCCTTCAATACCATTGGCTTTTGATCATATGCTATCTCCTGAAATAGTTGAACAATGACCAATTTTGGGGGCACGCTGATTCTGTGTATTCCTTTCATTTTCTTTTGATATCTCCTGCATCATTCAATATTTTGCCCATAGACTCTTTCAATATTGTAATTTGAGGCTTCAATTTTTCTTCAGTTCTTTCAGCTTGAGAAATGCCATGTGTGTTCTTCCCTTTTGATATTCTAACTTCTATTCTTTGCACATTTTTTTTTATAATACTTTACTCTGTCTTCTCAAACTGTCCATTGAAAACTTCTGTTCAGGTCTTTTTATTTTGTCATTTATTCCATTAATGTTAGCTACTGTCCATTCACGAGCAACTTTCAGAATCTGTTCTGATGTCATTCTGGTCCTTTCTTCATATACTTTCTTTTTCATGACCTTTTGCTTTCTTCATGATGCTGTTCTTGATGTCATCCCACAATTCATCTGGTTTTCGGTCATTGGTTTCAATGCCTAAAATCTGTTCTTCAGATGGTCTTTAAATTCATGTGGTATATAATCAAGATCGTATTTCGGCTCTCATAGACTCATTTCAATTTTCTTCAGCT